TTAAATATAGTTTTGTAATTGATATGAAATTTCCTAATGAGAAAAATAAAATTCCCATCTCTATATGACTTGAAATACATTAAAATTTATCGAACATCAAGGCATCTTTTTTTTTCCTTTCTTTAAGATATTACATATCTTTTATCTTTATGTGAACATGGTGATCTACATTTACGTGGTGCATGTGCAAGTTTACTTGCTACATTAATTCAAACAACAATTCATCTTTTATTAAACAATGTTCACTTGTATCAACTGATTCACAAGACAGTTCAAGGTTTTATGTCTTAATGATAATAATGCACGTGTTATACATGTTTCACTAAATACTTTACGAACATTATTACCTTTTTTTATTAATTAATAGTCATGCATTTACAATCATAGGAATTAAATTATTAGAAGATTCTATTCAACATACTACAAGTTCCTATATTCTTGCTAAAGTAGATAAAAGAAATTTATGATTATAATAATTTTTTTTTGTATGTATATAAAATAGATTAGTCTAGCTCAATTTATAGATGATATTGATTTTCGAATATTAACTTATCTTGAACAACAACAAAAACAATTAAAACAATATATCCTGATATACGTGTTCGTCAAGCAATTGCTTCGACTTTTGCTAAGTATGTATTTTGTAGAGATAATAACTACGTAGCTTTTTTCGAATTTGAATGAATAAGTCGATTTTATTACATTAAGTTAGTTATTAGCTACTTTTTGATTTTAAGGTTTTGTTGATCACAATTCATTTTTACCATGTCAATGGATATATAAAATTCATCATTCATTACACGTTCAAGCATCAACTGGAATACAAATTGCTTGTTATTTTTGTCTTTTATATAGGTTGGATGTTTAGAAGATATTTATGCTCTTTCAAATGTTTTAAGACCAACAACAATTCGACCATTTTTTCATAATCAAAATGATGAACTTCGTTTATTTATAATTTTTTTTAACATCCCTTTATATGACATGATCTTAATAATTTAATCTTTTCAAGTAAAGAGAAAAAAAAAAGATATTTATTATGTTTTTTTTTAATTCTTTCTTTTTATTTGAAGATTTATCAAATCTCAGCAAACGAAAAAATGTTTTGAAAGTAGCACAAATGATTCAAGTAATTCGAAAAATTGAACTATCTTATCATCATTCTTTTGGACAGAATATAGTTGATATTTCAGTTTTCAGAGAAGAAAGGAGTTCCAAAGTGTTAGATTTGAAGAATATATTTGATCATGTTTCGTCTGAATGAATTCATTTGTTTTTTGTCTTTTTAAATAGAATGATAAAGATTCATCAACAACATCAAACACAGACAAAGTTAAAAGAGTTAATCATACACAATTAGGTACTTTTGGAAGTTATTCGAATTAATACGTTCATCTTATCAAATACATAAAAGTTTATTAAATTCATCAGAAATAATCATTATTGTCTATGAAATCAGTTTTAAGTCTTATTTCTACACAAGATTTATCAAAAAATTTGGAAGAAACACTTAATTATTTTAAAGAAAATTTCAATTATTAATCTTCTTTATTTATTGTTTAAGCTAAAACCTTTAGGATGTTGTATTGTGTCTGAAACTTGTCTACAGATAAAACTTTAGATGGAAATCTTATAATGAAGGTTTCTGAAAGGGTCTTTCCTAGAGAAGCAAAATTTCAATGTAAGAATGTCATAGTAACAGAAAAACTGATTTTACGAATATCGATGATCTTAACGAGAGTAGTTTTGTTGTGAAAGTGTCAGATCTTTTGATTCGGTTCTATCTTGAAATTCGAATATTAAATCATCTAGTTGACGTCAATGATCTGCAAGACACACTATCAATTCGAAATTTGAAAATCATTTTTTTCTGTTAACACAACATTCATTTAAAAATATTCTTTTAATTTAGTTTTTATTAAATCTTCAAATGTTTCTTCACAAGTATTATTAAATACTTCTTTAACCTATATTCATACGATAAGTATTCGACAATCGATAATTTATTTTATTTGGTTCATGTTATGCAACAAGTATAAATAGTGCAATACGAGAGTAAAATAAACAAAAAAAACGAATTTGATTTATTCTGTCTGTTTTTTGTTTTCTATTTTAGTTTTAATTGAACTAAAAAATTAGTCTTAGAAAATATATTAATACAAATGAAAGTGATTTTCAAGCTGCTGTACTCGATTTACTTATTCAATTACTTTTAATTCGTGTTAATAATAGTTAATTAGAAGCTGATGAAATTCGTTGCGTTTCTAATCGTTTCGTTTATTTTGAAATAGCATTTTATTTATTGTATTGCTGAATTTCTTGCAATGTTATCACATGATACACTCCATTCAAAACGAGTTATTAAAATATAAGATTTAATAAAACATTATGATTCATTATTAGCAAGCGGACATGAATCTGAAACACATGATAGGAAGCAAAAAAAAATCATTTTCGAGGGTGTGAGTGTGTAGATGTAATTTTTCTCCTCTATTGAGCCCACACCCACACTTCAACGAATCGATGATCTGAAAATAATCATCTTGTTGATGTCCAGAACTCAACAAGATTTAGAGACAGTAATCTTCAGTTATGTATTTGAGTTTGAAGGAAAACTAGGCGTCTTAATTATTATAAATAAAAGTATCTTTTCATGTCATGTGTATGTACTGAAAAAATAATAATAGAATTTATATTGTTATAGGCTTTACGATTGTTAACAGTTATTGTTAATAGTGTTCAAATTGAAGATGATAAATGAAAACGTCTTTCACGATAAATTGTCGATGTACTTCTTGTTCATTTATAATCTCAGGTTATTTTTCTTTTAATAGTCTCTGATTTTACGTTACTTTTTTTTTCAAATAGAATCAAACACTTTTGGATATTTATTCCACACAATTAACACTATTTGATGTTGTCTCATCAGTTGCATTACGATCAATTGATCCATTTGTTATTGCTTTTCGAGCATTAGTAAATAGAAATGTCCGTTGTTTTTATTTATAAAATTTTCCTGTAGTTCAAAACTTTTTGTAGAATGTCAATTGTCAATCTACAAATCGATAATTAATCAATATAAATATAATACTTCGATGTCTTGTACAAAATTTAACTGAAGATGCTATATTAACATGATAGAATGATGTTTTATTATCAGTTGATGGAACACGAGATGAAACTTTTAGTGCGTAAGTATTCGAAATGATTTTATTTATAATTTAAAAACTATTATTCTCGTTTTTGTTTTCAGAACTCTTCTTCGTGTGTTACATGACATAATATTATGAATTTTAACAAATACTCAACAATTATGTGGTCAAATCAATATGACATTAGTTTCTCTTGCATCCGATTATCTTTATGTATTTATGTATATTATGAACTAACTGAACAGATAAAAACTGGTTTCTATCAAAGTCAAAAGAGCTTAAGCTTTCATCGTAATCTATATGATAGTAACATATCACCCATTAATTTGAAGATAAAACTTTCCTGCAATTCATTAATTACTAATGACCTAGCGAAAAACATTTGACTGTAAAATTCCTATGCTTATATAAGATCTATAATTTTATTTTGGCTAAACAATTTCGAACAATTGTAAATGATTTTCATCAATTATGAATTCATAATGAAACTGTACATCATCTTGATATATTTTCATATTTAACTATTTTAAATGAATGTTTTAAATTATTATGATCATCATTTTATATCTTATTAGTATTACAATGGACACATATTCTTAATATGCTTGATTATACACAAGAAGCAGGCTAGTCACCAATATTAACACCATCATCGTCAAGAATACATTTATCTATAAGTGATTAATTACAATCTTATTGTGATTTAATATATCATCATGAATTATATGTTGATCATTTTACATCAATAACAACATATTATCAATTATTATTATTATTTTTTATTTTGAACAAAGTGATACATGTACATATGTACATAATTTATTTGGTCTTATACATCATACATCAGTTGCAAGTCATTTATTCGTTTGTGAAGGAATACATTTATATGAAAGTGGTCTTACATTAGTTTTATTAATTGAACAATTTCTTCCATTATCATTAAATAAACAATTATGACTTAAATATGTACCATGAATTTTATAAATATTATCAATAACAACATCAATTGATATTATTACAGAAGATTTTAATAATCTTAATTGTCATATGAATATAACAAGAAAAATTTATGAACAAATGCTTAAAAATGTAACTTATAAAAAATGATTACCATTTATGATGTCACCAGTATATTTTAGTTTAATTTATCGAAATAAATAAATATATATGTATAATAAAAATTTTAATCCAATTAAAAGAAATGTTTTTTTTACTTTAACATTGTTTATGTGCTAGTAATAGATGAGACTTTTGAATAATTCAAAATTTCGAAAAATATTTTGAAATAGAAAATATGCAGAATTTCAGGTAATACAAATCGTAAAGGAAAGCATTTAAGCTACATTAGTACAATGATCGAATAATTCTTCTCGAATCTTATTGATCAAATTCTCAGTCGTGCTATTTGTACTGTTACAATTAAAGAAAACGACGTCTTTCTAATATTATATTTCGTAAGATGTTTTCGATTGTGTTATTTATTTGCAACCGAAAATAATATTTCGAAATAAATTGCATTCGAGAGTTTCGATAAACTTTCTATAAGTTTGAACTCGTGAACTCCGAAAACGTATTGGATTTTTTCCACAGCATTAAATTTTTAGGATGATTCTTATAGTAAATGAAAATTGATTTGAGAAAATAAGAAACAATATAAATCTGTTCTTTTTTTGTTTTCCTAGGATTTTGTATAATTATATCAAATGAAACAAATTAAAATGACATTGAAACAACACCTAATAAAATTTATGAAAAAAGTCTTTTATCAGGCTTCTAATAATCAACCATATTCAATTGCATTCATAGATTCTATATCAATATATTTTGATAAAATACAAAATCATGTTGAATTAACATGTCAAATTTTCAACAGGTGATATACATGATTTATTACGTTTTATAATGTTTATATCAGAAATAATTTATATAAATATATTTCAAAAAAAAACATCATTTCTTAGTTGTGAAACACATCAAATAATATCATGTTGTACATTATCGAAAACACTATTATCAATATTTGAATATATTTATCAACAACATGGTTTAACTATATCAAATATATTATAATCATATTTAAATTTAATTGAACCAGATAAAAGATCATCTTTATTATTTAACAAAAAAAAATTAAATATATATATATATATCATATATTTATTGACATGATTTATATTGTATAGTTATATTATTATTTTGTTTACCAATATTTATATAAAGACAATTTTGGAGTTGGTTGATTATTTAGAATACAATTTCAAGAAATATAGGCTTCATTTTTAGCTTCAATTAATTCACCACAATTCAATCTAATGATGAAAATAAACAAACAACAAATAATTAAAAAAAAAAAACTTTAGAAACAAATGCAACACAATAGTAGCAAGATTGAAAAATAAGCTAGATTTTATCTGTTCTTTTTTATCGGTGGTCAATATATGCAAACACGTTCAACATTAGATACAAGTCCAAATAATTTATTTACAAATATTGGACGGTTAGGTACACGTGATTTATTATCCTATGGACAATTTTCATATGATACTATATTAACATCAATCCAAAGTAATAATACATTACCATTATGAATTAATGTAAGTCTCACATATGTTTTAATAATCGATAAATAGAACTCTAAGTTAAAAGAAAGATAAATTCATTGCTAAATTATTAATTTCATCAAAGAGAAAATCTAGTGTTTCTCTGACTTTGATTTGATATATAATACATGCAAACTATCTTATTTCATAGAGATAAAAGCTTATATCAATAATTTCAAATATATTCTATCAATCAAAAAATTAGATTATGAACATTTTCTTTTCTGGCATCCATCTTTAAAAATATATAATTTAGAGTTTATTTGATTGCTTATTTTTTCATCATGGTTTTGATTTAACATTATCATTACAAATTCTAATTGAAATATATGTAATATAAATTAATAGGTTCAATTATATATCTATCTGATTTATTTGTACATGGTTTGATGAAGATGATTTAATGATATCCTTAATAAGTTATAATTTATGTAAATCTAGTATATTACTGGAACCAAGAACAAAAGAATATAATGACTTATACATAAATTTAATTGAACGTAATTATAAATTAATAACTAAAACTCATACATATGCATCATATTTATTTTTACTTGAAAGTCATGAAGTTGATTTAAATTTATACGATATTTTGTTATTATTAATTAAAGATGATGATTTAACACAAGAAATTATATCAATTAGTCTTGAAAAACTTTTAATAGTTGGTCAATATCCCAAAAATGATATATGGTGTTAATACTTTCACGTATTTATACATTATTACAACGACCAAATAAAAATACAAATTCATTAAATAATGAACATGTTAATAAAGAACAAACAATAATTGATAGTTCATCAATAATATCATCATCAGATAATATTCTTATTGAACTTGTTGAAGAATTATATGCCCATACAAAACAATCATCAACATTACCATATGAAGCTTTACTTTTATTACGTCCTTTATCATTATTACTTGCACACATTAGTTTTTTTTTCGTGCTTTAATTAATGCACGTTATTCAGCTAAAGTTAATGAATGGACTTTATTATCAATGACAAATATTACACAAAGAAAATCAATAGGTATGGCTATATGGGGGCGAACTTGTCTTATGTTAAGTGCATGTCTATCACAGGGTGTGGATGTGGATGAAGACAAGACCTATAATGATACCCACACCCACACCCTCTTATGAGTAAAATTCTGCCTATGGTTAAATATTCTTCCTAGTTTTCTTTTTAAAAATTATCAAGACTTACACATACAATTAAAATTTATTTGGAAAAGATAAATAGTAAAACATTAATGAAAAACAAAAACTCTTTATTGTACTCCGAAAGAATGACGGTCAATACAAAATCAATAAATTTCGCCATGAAATGTCAAAATGAATTTTCATTGACAATATAGTATATCGTTTACTTTTTTAGGTTTTTATTGATGTTATCACGTTTCAGTGCTCGTTTCGAAGAATAAGACAATCGTTTATTTCTTATTGCTGATCGAAAATAGTCTCTGCAAATATCAATTATATCAACAAAAAAGCAAAATCTATTTTATTTATTTTAGTTTACGAATATTGAACATTGACGTCAATTTGAACAAGCATTCACAAATGAATCGAATCCAGAAAAATTATATGCTGATTTACTTGAACACATTCAAAATACGGTGTGGATGTAGATGTTGTTTGGATATGTTGATGAATCATATACTCTCTCTGTCATCCACAGCCACACCTTCAATAAAGACTAAAAATATCGATTCATAAAATGGAAACATAGCAACAAGAATTAATTTATCTACTTTTTTCTTTTTACTAGAATTGGTCTCTACTATAACAATCATATCTAAATTTTCTAAACCAATCAGAATAGATTGTCATTTATTTTGTGCTCTAATTTCTGTTTGGCTTATAAGTTTATATTTCATATTGTATGTTTTATTATGATTTCAATCATTGATTTAACTAGTAAATAAGTCGATTACATGTATCCATTAAACATATTTTAGCCATTGAAGTTTTAACGAAGACTTTTTTAAACCATGTCGTTAGAGTTTAAGAGAAAGTTGCACAACATCTGGATTACAACTTGCATTTATAACCAGTACTTTTAATAATATCAAGAAGAATGTGAGTATAGATGTTGATATTCTGTTTAACCACATCTACAATCTTTGAATCGTTTTGATTTAGTAGATTATATGTAAAAGCAGCTACCATACTTCATCCTATTGAACTGTTTTCTGAAAATCCATTGAAAATGATAAATTCAAAAAGTCTCGCACTACACCATTGTTTCTTTTTATTCAAATAATAATTCTTTTTTCTTGATTTATTATTCGTACTTTTTATTATTTTGTTATCAATACAAAAAAAATTGAATATTTTAATGTAAAAAGCAATTCATCATTGACAGTATTTAACGATAACTATCAGAAAAGGAATCAAATCAACTTCCACAGGTTCGAGTTCAGTTCGATGCCTGACAAGTACGATATTATCCTGTAATATTATTTTAGATTTTAAATTTCTGAGAATTTTTTTAATGAAAAGCATAAGTTAAAACTCAACAATACAATCACCAAAATGCATGACTTCATAAAAAATAAATCATAAATAACGAAAATCCGATCAGCACTAAAGAATATTCTGTAAGAAAATGATCGCATCATGTTCCTGTTACATTCTAAAGATACTAAAAGGCTTGTAAACACATTCTAGAATACTTCAAACATATTTAGATTTTATTTTAAATTTATTTCTGGATTTTTGGTAAATGTTTATAAATGTAAATTGATCGCTTTGCAAAATATTTCATTGAACATCGTTTGATAATCACATATAACATCACAACTTTACAAAAATGATTATATCTTAGCTAATCATTTTTTTTTTCATATGCCTATCTATATTTATTCATTTTTTCAAAATTACTAATATCTGTTTATGGAAGAAGTAGTTGTTTCAATGAATAGTATGATGTTGAATCCTATTCTATTTTCATTACTGAAAATAGGAGAGACGATTATTAGCTTCAAAACTTTTTTCTCACAATCTACTCTCGTGATTTAAATTTTGTGTTCTAACTTATTTAACTTTGTGTCAAATATTTTTTTTGTTGTTGACACAGTAAACTTTGCATACATGTGACGATACAAAATAAAGAAATTTTTTCTCGTAAAATTTAATTTAAACAGAAATATATGCAATAAAGTGTGAGTTTTCGGTTCATCTACAAAGCCATACATTCTATTGTCTAGGAATTCGTTGTATTCTTCACTTTTTCCTTCTGGAGAAGTGTTTCTTTTTTCTGATTTTGGGACAGTTATCAATTTAGTTTGCGTTTTGTTTCAACAAGCAAGTCGTTGCAAATATTCTAGACTAAGAAAATATTTTTCCACAGTTACAGTTTATTGTCTGTCTCTTCTAAATAGATCAGTCAATCTCATTCACATTTTTCTAGCTAATAATTGTCATTGATATCTACTTTTAAGAATCATCAGGATCATAAACTCGATCATTCGATTTTATTGTAATATAAGATTACCTGATTTTCTCCAATATGTCATTTCTTGAACTCTTGCAAAGACATTCTTTCTCAGGCATTCGCCATCGATGAAATTCAGAAATTCTAAGATATTATCAGTTAAATCTTCTAATCTTAAATAAATATATTTCTCTTGAATAATTGAAAATTCAGATAAAATTGGAATTGACTTGTATCACACATATTCACTCTATTCGTTAATTAACCTTAAGAAAATCTTATATTTTTTGCCAAAAAAAAATTTATGTTTGAATATTTGGAATATAAATATTTCAAAAGTTATTCAAAAGAAAAAGAGAACTTTGCAAGGTCACGATCTTTAAAATGATGATGCTGAAATTTTGCAGAACGCTGGTAGAAGTAGTTAATAGTTATGTCATTGATTGTTTTAAAAACTATGCATGGAAAACAAAAACAAAAAAACATGTCTGTTAACTCCTACTCAAGTATTCGCTAGTCAGAGAAACATTTGCATCATTAGCCTTAATAGTTATTTCCATACAATGTAGTATTTATACACAAATTTTTTGATTGCTAGCAAATTTATCAATAAAAATCTTGAACAAACTGTTCAAATTCTTCTGAAACGTCATGATTCTTATAAATTTACTCATGTGCTCATATAAAAAAATGTGTTTTTTCTTAACTACTGTTTCCTCGTACATTGAGATAAGTCCAGTGAGTGATAAAGTTAATTTCGTCAACTGTTGTCTTTTAAAGAAGACTCATGGTTTCACAGACTACGCATGCCTTTTTCTTTTCATATCGAATATAATTGTTGTTGCTCTTTTCAAGGAACTATTGCCTTTAGTCAATTACTTTTTGGTTAAATAAAAGCATCAAATTTTGATAGCATTTGATATCAATATTTTCGAAGTAAATCATCAGTTAAGAGGAAAGTTAGGAGATTTACAAAACTTTCACTTTGATCTGATTATCTATAGATGACTGAATCAATTTGTTTGATCTGCCTCCTCTATTTCGTTTTTCATAGATCTTTTAAAGTTCTACAAAAGATATATTGTTCTCTATTGCATTCATATTATCAATTTTGAGTGAATAATTTCATCTTACATTTTTGAGAAAAATTCTTTCTCATAATATCAGTATGTCTTTCACCTCTGCAAATATTTTATACAAGACCTATCATTTCAATGGAATAATATTCATTTATCTAGCATCTTCTATTGAATTTTAAAAAGAACACTAAGATAATTTTAATTAAAGCTGCAAAAATTGTCGAAAAATATATTCAAGCAAGTAGGATATGAGACAACAAAATTTCAAAACAGGAAAATTTTCAAACATAAGATTGTCAATATGAATACCTATGGGAATATAAAGAATGTTACAAAATTAAAATCATAATCATCTAATATGATGAATATTATTCCATTGAAACGATAAATTTTTGATTAAATCTATTCAGATAAAAACACATAAAGCTGTTATGAAAGAAATTCTTCTCAATGAAATGTAAGATGAAATTAGTCATTGGAGATTAGTACGATAGGAAAATAATATTGGACTAGATTGATGCATTCTACAAAATTATATATTTCAATCAATGAACAGTTTATAAATTCATTGTCTTCTTAGATTAACTTGTCATATATGTTTATCTACATCAAAATGGTAATGAGACAAATGCTTGTAAGGTTTCTTACATCAAACTATCAGCTGTAACTGAGAGTTTCTACATTGAAAAAACTGATTTTGGTGTGGGTGAGTTTGGATGAGGTCAGAAAGAAGAGGTTCACCCACATCCAACAAAAAAGCTTGTCAAACTCGTGAGAATGTGCGTAGGGCACATCTGAAATTCATTTTTCTTTGACTCCGTGTGGAAGATGCAAGAACAAAAATAAATGGTAATTAACAGTTGGTAATTTCTTTATATAGCTATAAATGACTTAGTATTTTAGTGACCCTTGATATCTCGCATCTTATATGCATATACACGTTAATTATCGTTTTGTATAAATTAACTTTATCCATGAAAGAGTCTCGAAGATTTACTATATATACAAAATAAAAAGAACAATAATGTTCTAATAAAGGGATATGCAATTGATATTCGTTATCAATCAATGTCCAACTTCATTTATTAATAAGAGATAAATTAGATTTTAAAAAATAACTATGAACATATATGAGAATTATGAAAATTCTGCAGTCAGACGTCTTTTCTACTTGTGC